CATCTTGCCTCCATTCACAGTAGGAAGTACGAATCCTATCCCACACGTAGAAGTTTCTGCAAAAAAATCTCACAAATATAATATTTCATTCTTAGCGGAATCATTAAATTAAGGATGTATTACTGAAACTAAGAGATTTACTGAAATTTAGTTTCTCCTGTGAGCTTACTGCAAAATTTTAGTATGTTGGCGAATCGTTAAATTGCATTTTAGCAAAAATTTACGAATAATAATTTGAAAATTCGGCTCAAGGTTTTAAATTTTGATGGATTTTGGGGCCAAAAAAAGGCTGACATGTAATATAGTTCTTTCCAACATTCCTTTTTGACGGACACAAAACTGTGATTTCTGTAAATCTATTCATGGTAGAGTCGAATAAAGATCTGGATATGTAAATCATCTTTACATTCTGTATATTTAGAGGCCGCGTGCGGTGGCCAAGTGGTTAAGGCGTCTGTCACATTCTGCTACCATTAGCCCTCAACTACTGGGTCGCATGTTCGAGGCCTACGTGGGACATTCGCCAGGTACTGGCCATAGGACGGTGGTTTTTCTTTCCTCCACCACAAAACCTGCCGCGTCCTTAAAAAACACAACCAAACCAAACAAACCAAGTATATTTCCCCTAATAAAGTACCATACAGTGATATTTAACTACCAATGTCTTCATTATCCTGTAAGAATCCTCCTAGTCGGAGCCACCCCTTACAATTTGTACAAACCCCTAGGGAGTTATAGGGGGTCAGTCTGGTAATGGTAGCCCACCAGTGAATGAACAGCATTCAAAACTGAGATGCAATACAATTTCTCCTACATTTATTTTATGTCATGATTTTGTATTCAAAAGCAGACTTGATGTGTACACAGTGTATACATATATTAGAATTATTGCTCTTGAACAAGCGAAATGTAAATGTGTTTGGACGATATTCACTCATATTTCTTTAAAGACGGCATTTATGAAACCAGGGAGAAATTATCGGAGTGCATAAATTTCGTTGATACAGCTGTGCGGATTGACTGATATCTCAATTTCATAAATGTTGGAAAATGAAATATCGCAGATAAGCTGTTATAAATTATACAAGGATGTCAGAACTATGGCATATACGCTGTATCTATTAAAAACTATGAGGCTTCCCTGTTTATCAAAAATACTTCCAATGCTCTGTAAAACTTTGATAAACTTTTTTATTCTAAATTTTTTAAATAAAAAAAACCCCTACCAACTATCAATTCATATTTAAAAAAAGTAAATCTAAGGAAAAAACAACACCTAGATTAGAAAGTGGTCAAATGAATAAATGTAAATCTGTTAGTGTCTTGTCAGGGACATTAGCTTAATTTTACAACACTGAACTTTATTCTGTGACACTTCATAGACAAAAAAGTTGATATTTGTAAAACACTTTTTTTGTGTGTCTGCATGGTTTTCAAAGGTCAAGGTAAATGTTCCTCAAAGGTCAAGGTCACCACAAGAAGTTGAGGGTCAAATAATTTGCTGAGCATTATTTCATGAAACTTTAAATCATCTGCACATTAAATTTCACGAAACATATATACATGAATGCCCAATGCTCTAGTTCACATCAAGAGGTCAGAGGTCAAATCACTTTACGCATAGAACAGCTGTTCTAAAGCATTGTGGGAGAGAGGGAAAGCCAAACTGTAAATGTGTGAGCGTCCTTTCTGTTGTTTTGTTTTTATTGGTAAGCCAGATGTCGCTCACTGCAGTTGTCCTTTATTGTGGGGGTCTGTATGTAATGTCCAGGTAGGGCAATAAAGTTTGTGTCATTACGCGATTATGCAATAGAATGAAGTCATAAAATTTACATGTTCAGCCTGGAATGTTCTCAAGATATGAATTATCAGTGAGAGTATAAGGATACATGTATAAATATGTATACACAAAGTTAATCCAGCTTGTGGTGACCATAAGTGATTATGTATGTTGTAAAAGTTATAAATATGGAGTACACTGTTTATATACATACAGATAGTGTGACAATAAAATACAAAAATACTTCGAAATTCAAAAATGTTTAGGTTAGTATTAGAAAAGTTTTAATGTAATAAAGTAATGATTTCACACTAAATAGCACATATATGTTTTATGATATATAACACAGTGGTCAATTCTTACAGGTCAATTCTAAAGGTCAATTCACATATTTTAACTTCTTGTTGGTCACTATCCAGAAGAAACCCAAAATGGTCACTTGACCAGGTAACCTATGTACTGGACACTATATACACTATACACATTTAAACTCTCAACATTGGTCACTATCCACAGTTAAACTCAATGCTGATCACTATCCAAAGTTAAACTCTCAACACTGGTCTCTTTACACAGTTAAACTCTCAACACTGGGCACTATCCACAGTTAAACTCTCAATACTGGTCACTATCCACAGTGAAACTCTCAACACTGGTCTCTTTACACAGTTAAACTCAACATTGGTCTCTTTACACAGTTAAACTCTCAACACTGGTCTCTTTAAACAGTTAAACTCTCAACACTGGTCTCTTTACACAGTTAAACTCTCAATACTGGTCACTATATACACTATACACAGTTAAACTTTCCACACTGGTCTCTTTACACAGTTAAAATCTCAACACTGGTCTCTTTACACGGTTAAATTCTCAACACTAGACACTATCCACAGTTACACTCTCAACACTGGTCTCTTTACACAGTAAACTCTCAACACTGGATACTATCCACAGTTACACTCAAAACACTGGTCTCTTTACACAGTGAAACTCTCCACACTGGTCTCTTTACACAGTTAAACTCAATGCTGGTCACTATCCAAAGTTACACTCTCAACACTGGTCTCTTTACACAGTGAAACTCTCCACACTAGTCTCTTTACACAGTTTAACTCTCAACACTGGTCACTATACACAGTTAAATTCTCAACACTGGTCTCTTTACACCGTGAAACTATCAACACTGGTCACTTAACACAGTTAAACTCTAAACATTGGTCACTATCAACAGTTAAACTCTCAACACTGGTCACTATATACACTATATACAGTGAAACTCTCAACACTTGTCTCTTTACACAGTTAAACTCTCAACATTGGTCTCTTTACACAGTTACACTTTCAACACTGGTCTCTTTACACAGTTAAACTCTCAACACTGGTCTCTCTACACAGTTACACTCTCAACACTGGTCTCTTTACACAGTTACACTCAACACTGGTCTCTTTACACAGTTACACTCAACACTGGTCACTATCCACAGTGAAACTCTCAACACTGGTCACTTTACACAGTTAAACTCTAAACATTGGTCACTATCAACAGTTACACTCTCAACACTGGTCTCTTTACACAGTTAAACTCTCATCATTGGTCTCTTTACACAGTTACACTCTCAACACTGGTCTTTTTACACAGTTAAACTCTCAACACTGGTCACTATCCACAGTTAAACTCTCAACATTGGTCTCTTTACACAGTTACACTCTCAACACTTGTCTTTTTACACAGTTAAACTCTAAACATTGGTCACTATCAACAGTTAAACTCTTAACACTGGTCACTATATATACACTTTATACAGTGAAACTCTCAACACTGGTCTCTTTACACAGTTAAACTCTTAACATTGGTCTCTTTACACAGTTACAGTCTCAACACTGGTCTTTTTACACAGTTAAAATCTCAACACTGGTCACTTTCCACAGTGAAACTCTCAACACTGGTCTCTTTACACAGTTAAACTCTTAACATTGGTCTCTTTACACAGTTACACTCTCAACACTGGTCTTTTTACACAGTTAAACTCTCAACACTGGTCTCTTTACACAGTTACACTCTCAACACTGGTCACTTTCCACAGTGAAACTCTCAACACTGGTCTCTTTACACAGTTAAACTCTCAACTTTGGTCTCTTTACACAGTTACACTCTCAACACTGGTCTCTTTACACAGTGAAACTCTCCACACTGGTCTCTTTACATAGTTAACCTCCCAACAATGGTCACTATACACTGTTAAACTTTCCACACTGGTCTCTTTACACAGTTTAACTTTCAACACTGGTCTCTTTACACAGTGAAACTATCAACACTGGTCACTGTACCCAGGTAAATTATCTACTCAGTAATTATGATATACAGGTAAACTGCACACTGGTCACTTTACACAGGTAAATTGTCTACACAGTAGTTATAATATACAGGTAAACTACACACTGGTCACTTTACACAGGTAAATTGTCTACACAGGAGTTATAGTATACAGGTAAACTACACTGGTCACTTTACACAGGTAAATTATCTACACAGTAGTTTTAATATACAGGTAAACTATACACTGGTCACTTTACACAGGTAAATTGTCTACACGGTAGTATAATATACAGGTAAACTACACTGGTCACTAAACACAGCTAAAATGTCTACACAGTAGTTATAGTATACAGGTTAATTGCAAACTGGTCACTTAACACAGGTGGATTTGTCTACACAGTAGCTATAGTGTACAGGTAAATTCTATACATTCAGGTCACTTAACACAGGTAAAATCTATAGATATATGCTGGCCCCTGTACATAGGTTATCTGAATAGACACACAATGGCCTTTATATACAGGTAATGTACCTTATACTATACACTGACCCATGTACACAGGTAGATGGGTCAGTGTATAGTATAAGGTACACAGGTAGATTATATAAATACAAAATAGCTCCTGTATATACTGGTAAAGTCACCATAGATTGACAATGACTCCTGAATACAGGTAAACTGCCAGGCACACTAGCCTCTATATAAAGGTAAAGTGTATATACATGTAGCTATACTTTGGCCCCTGTACTCAGGGTAACACATGCTGACTACAGTGAGCTCCAACCCACACTGTGTAGAACACAGACATGTCAGTCAAACTAACAGTACTGCCCACCTCAAACCTGACTCCCCTTTCTTTAAAGGGCCGACTAACTATCGCTGGGAGCTCTAGCTGGTAGTTCAGTATAGTGAGGTGTGTAGCCTCTGTCAGCTAGCCTGGCACTTTATATGTGCTAATAGTGGGGAAGTTTAATAGGTTGCTGTCTTGGCATAGGCTCCCACCACTACAGCGTTTAAGGACAGATGGAATGGTTTAGGACCCTGCATTTCAGCTGGTGTCTATGTGCGTGCTTTTTTTATTGAATTGATCTGCATAATGATTTTAAAGAATTTTTTGCCACAAAATCTTACTGATGGGAAATTTTGTATGCAGTCAAAGAATACACCTGAGTTAAATATAGGGTTAACTGTCTAGGGGTGTTGTTGGGGAGCACGTTTGGAGAGAATTCAGACTTTGGATATACTGAATACTTGACCAGTGGGCAAGCAAAGGAGATTACAGCCCATTATACTTGTCCACAAGTGGATTTATGAAGTTCGGGAGCAGATGAAAAAGTGTTACAACTTCAAATACTCGAGGAGATTTGGGATATCTAAATTCTTACAAGCCTATCTGTTGTAGGTGAGGACAAGCACACGACAGGATCAAAATGGCATTAGTTTAAAGATCCCGGGTTTAATACACTTTACCTTTCTAGAGCGTGCTGACCTCCGCAGAATTATGAATATAAGTTAAATATTGCTGAGGTCATTTTTCACCTGCAGTGGAATTTAAGACATGGTGTTTTGGATAAATTGGAGTGGAGAATAATCGCCTCTATTACTGTGTGGTATCACCTAGTTTGACTACAAGTTGGATCTATATTCAAGTTTGATTAAAAAGAAACTTTCTTATCGCCAATATTTAACATAGCAGGAATTTTTACCTGTCATTCAAGGATTGTGTTTTTCCCCCCAGTGTTTACCTTATAGAAAACAGGTACTGGATGTGATCGACGAAAGTGGAACAGGTAAGAACATCTAATGAATATTGAGTTTTTACGATAGTGTTTGTTCTGTGGGAGTGAACTAGGGCAGGTATAAGTTTTATATGTCAGACTCTCGGTTTTTGTCACTCGTCTATTGCATAATGCATTTACCTGTGGTTTTTTGGGGCAGATGAGAGGTGTTGAAAGGTGTTTGGTGTGACGGTGTCTCTACTCCGTCTGTTTATCATAAGATGTCTCATCGTATAGAATCGAGAGAGGGTGTGCAGGATTTTGTAAGCGGAGGATCAACGCTATCATAGTGAAATCACACAGGGCATTTAAACATTATATATATACCAGGTAACCATAAGCTGCATTAGAAATAATTAAATCATCATATAGAAACACTACAACAAAAAAAACACATTAATAGTACACTTTACTTTTTATCCTACGGATTTATTTAAACTATTATTCAAATCTGAATCAGATTTATCTATTTTAATTTGCTTCACGTTCTATTTTAAATTGTGTAAAGACATAATAATGAGGAATCTCTCAATCCCTCAGACAATATCATGCCCCATAAAGTTCAGACATGTATTCCCGATGATGTACTCTCGTTTAGGAAAACATTAATTAAATTTTGACATGTTGGGTTACAATTTGAAATTGGATGCTGAGATTTAGTGTAGGATGCCAGTTGTAGATCGTTCTGATAATACTTTTTAAGTAATTTCAATTTGTAAAGAGACTGCACTCTATTTTGAGATAGTAATTGAAGAGATGGGGGGCACTGGATTGTTGCCGTTGTATCGGTTTACGTTAGCGATAGCTTTCCAGAACCAATTTGGCGAAGACTATCAATAATCATCAGATAACAGAATCATTTGGGTGCTTTTGTTTAGAATTTATCTGGTCAAATGTTTGAGGTTTGTATAATTAGCCTCTAGGAGAAAATCTGTGTATTTTTGTCTGCTAATCTCCGTCTGACGTTCCCTATGACGTGGCCGCCACTATTGAGTGCATTCAGGTCCACATCTGTTTGCTGTATATACAAAAAAGTTAATTATCAACCGTTTTCTGTTCTCCCACTAACCATGTAGTTACCTAACACGGCTGGGAGAACACCTACAAGAAAACCTGTTTACCTAGTACTTTTCATATAATCCCTTGCTCTTTCTAGTCTTGGGTAAATACATTTGGAAATCTTTCTCCGTTTTCCATATATCTTTGACTTTTCCAGTTCTGAGAGTGCTTCCAATTTTATCATCCAGTCTTTGAGAACTACCTGTAGAATTGTTTTCAAGGTTTCTTTATACTTCATAAAGTGTGTTTAAGATTTTTTTCATAATCTTCGGACCTGCATTAGACCAATAACCTGTACAATAACTGTACTTGTAGTTATTTTATTCACAATTCGTAATGGTAATACAATACAAAGTAATAAGTGATTCAAGCTTTACATAAGCAAAATGAGCTATCTGCAAGGGCACGGCTCTAATGGTACAAAACTAATAAGGGGATAAGGCATTACATAAGCAAAATAAGATTTCTCCTTAAGAGGTCCATAGCTTGGCCCGAAGGTCTTGCCCCACCCCTGAGAGGTTAACCTGCAATAAGTAACTTTTAACAGGAATATTTTGCAATGATTGCTTAAATATCAAGGATAGAAAATACAGGCTCTCTGGGCCTTTTGTTTACATGACCACTCATAAGCCATTGCCATGGAAATATGTGCACGGTCGTTAAAAGGGAGATTAAAGACTTAACTATAGAATTATGTATTGTATTTTGGATTTGTGCCGTGTTGTTCATTCATACGTTAGGCAGACTGAGGTACACTAGTTGTATGTAGATGCCTGTGGCACTGTTCATTCACAGCTGCACACAGACGTTTGTATCTACACGCATTTCCGTGGTTTTTAGGTGACGCACTGTGTTCCGTTTCATAGAGCATGGAGGCTTTTCAAGCTTAGAGTGAAAAATGTTACAAATAGTATATATTTTAAATACTTTTAAATTGAGGAACATACAATTCATCTGCCGAATTCTATGTTGCATTAGAGAGAAATTAATTGTGCCGTAACACGAGACAAGTTAATTTCCTCACCTACTTGAGAATGTAAAGATGAAGTAACCCAGGTGGTCTCCCCTTCTGTAAGTCTTATTTGAAAGAATTAAAGGAATTAGCTGGCAAGTCCAGTCATTGGAACTATTTGAGAAACAAAAAAAATAAACATTTGAATTTAATATACAAGATTTATAGCATTTTATATACAGTGCTATGATTGTAATCCCTTGTTGGCTCAAATATAAAGTGCTGGGCTTCGTGAATTTGTGTCCATGTGTAAGTGCCCTATCAAATCGGCTATGGTAAACCAGAGGCCTAGAATTGCTCTATAAACTGCATGAGAAAGTTGTAGAAGGCTTTCAGAATGCTCGCTGCTGTAACTGCGAACATCACTGGAAATCTGATGTACCTCTCTGTTGCGTAAGAGATTATAAGCAATCTGTTTGTTTACTCGTGGTGTTATTTTCATCTGTCTGTCTTATCCTCTTAATGTACGCTGTAATAATTTGTTTTTCCAACATTCTGTTTGTGCTGAGCGATACACCTAAAACACTGCCTACACTTACCTTTTCTCAGGCCCGACATGCAAACAGTGAACCATTTCTTACCAACAGTAAGCTCCATACCCACACACTGGGCCAACCAACAGCATGTTGACTGGAAAACAATCATTCACTCGTGAGCCAATCTACATCACATTGACTGAAACTCACTCAATCTCTCACTCACCACTCACGAGCCAACAAACAGCATGCATGTTGACTGGATCACAATCATTCACTCGTGAGCCAATCTACAGCACATTGACTGAAACTCACTCAATTTCTCACTCACCACTCACGAGCCATCAAACAGCATGTTCTGAAAAATGGTCTTCATTAAACCTAGGCAAAATTTGGACTCTTCAGGTGTATTGATAAGCCGATACTGGTCGTCACTTTGGTCCAATATAGGTTCATAGTTTGGCATCATTGGTCAAGCTTGCATGGTCTCTTGGTCTGGTTTTGTGGGACTGGTCCGCTCTAATTGTGCCTGTCTGGCATCTTGGTCTAGTTCCATCGTTCTGGACTGTTTCTCAGGTCCAATCTAGTTGGGCCGATCGGGTCTCTTCAGGTCAGATCCATTTGGCCTGATCTCTTTAAGTCCTGTCTTAAAACTGTTCTAGTCTCTTTTGATCCGGAATCCAAAGTTTGGCCAGATATTTGACTTTTAAGTGTTTGATATATTTCCATAAAAATCTGTTGAAACATTATATTTTGAAAATATGTCAAGGAATTTTGTGGAAATATAGTAATATTGATACAAGTTATTGTGTTAATTAAACACTAATGATGAGAATCTTAGTCCATGGTCACCATATGCCTTCCCCGTTCTCAGAGGATAATATTACAGAAGCAAGCCCCTATATCTGAGCAATTTACACAGCTAAGTAACCTTATAACTTAATGTACTGACAGTTTTAATACATGTTCAAGGTTGTGTGTTACCGAACCTTCCCCTGGCCTCAGTAAAACGGTGATAATCACCACACTTTTCATTAGGACAGGTATGACCTAAATGACACTCAAGGTTCATTTCCATTTCCTCTGATACCTTATTTCATACATACCATCAACTCACAGAGGAGTCTGGAATCATATCGAAGGAATATACCATAAAATCACATATTTTCATGAGTACTTATTTTCACAATTTTTCTTCTAATGACAAATTTGTGAGGAATTGAGTTTGAGAAAGGACCAACAAACACACCATCTTTATATAGTAATTAATAGATATTCACACAAGATCATTTTATCCTTGATTGATGCTCTCTACGAATAAAGCGCCAAAACAAAAAATTGAATGATTTACTGTAACATTGTATTTGAGACCTTACCAATTTGATCTTGAGCTTGGCTCAAATTAAATCTCTCCAGTACTTAATGTATTAAATGTTACAGTTAAGACTGAAATGACAGATTGAAGCAGAATTAAAGTAATGGTGTCTTGAGAACATTATCAGTCAAATGAGACTTAAAACCAAAATGACTAGACTTGAACAATATTTGGCCCAGTGTAAGGAGACCAGACAAGATCAATGGGACCATTTTATTGGGAACAGACCAAAAGGACTGGACCAAATTGACTGGACCAGAACAGTTTTGGGAACAGACTAAAGAGACTGAACCAAATGAATTGGACCAGACCATTTTAACTCAAGACTTAATCAAAACTGATAGACTGGAACAATATTTGTACCAGAGCATTAAACACGCAACCAGACCAGTTGATTGGACTGGACCATAATTTCTGGACCAGAAAATTATTGGGACCAAACCAAGACAGTACAACTATGCGATGAGATAAAACAGATTGACGGGACCAATGTAGCCAGACCTTAGGGACCGGACCACAGAAACCAGATCTAGACCTTACTTGAGATCACGCCTAATACATTACACTGCCTGTTACATTTCAGACATAATAGGTATACATATGTTCTCATAATATTGACAGAGACGCCTTCTCCAATGTATATTGGCTGTAGAGATGGGGTGACAGGTCAGGCCCCAATTGTGATGTATCTGATATCCTCGCCTTTCATCTTCCTAAGCTGAATCTCCTGGTTGTGTTTTGAAGAGTTAATGATGTGTGTAGGAAGTGGACTGTCCTGAGCACCCCTCCAGAAATTAGTGGATCGTGCCATTTCAAAGAATCGGAGAATCTAATATGGCAAAAAGGGGGGACAGTGGATTGTATTTCAATATGATAATATATCATATCATATGTACTAAATATGTGTATACATAACCTACAATTATGCACGTGTACTTTTATAATAAACATTTGTGATTCTATCCTATCAAGGTAGCTGAAATTGTAACTACTTTGTAACCTGGAAATGTCACGAGATGATGTAATATTGAAGAAATATACATATGACACGGATGTTCCGAAGCTTACCAGGTACTCTAAGCTTCCTTTC